AACTCAAGCGTGAAAGCCACTTTTATATTACACATGTTCAATCTTGGACCCATTCACCCAGAACAGCATCGATAAGTTGAAGGAAGTCCAGCAATGGGTAGTACGCTTTATCCTGAACAGCTACAGGAACACCTCTAGTATTGGCAGCATGCTGGAAACACTGGGCTGGTCATCATTGGAGGAATGACGACGATCATCCAGGTTTTTCATAATGTACAAGATAAAAAATGGGCTGGCCCACTGAAACGCGTCCCTCTTGCCCCTAGAAAGTGAAGAGGCCATGCAGGCAGTTCCATCTCATAGCAACAAAATCTCAGTAAAAGAAATGTTCATTCCTGCCAAGGACATTTAGCAACAGTTGAGGCAACTACACTTAACACATTTGCGTCTATCCCCTCCTGCCTTCCAACCCACTGTTGTTAACAGATTCACTGAGTAGCCCATGCAAACAGTGAAGTGTCTTCTTCCAAACAATACACAGTTACCTCGCAAACCCCCCTGAAGCAGGCCCTCAAAATATAGAACTAGAAAGAGGAACTCTTGAGGACTTGATTATAACTATTTAAGAGTCAATTATAATAGAGTTAATTAAAAACATTGATAATAACTATTGAGGAGCTAATTATAACTTTTGAGGAGCTGATTGTAACCATTAAGGATCTGATTATAACCATTGATGAGCTGATTATAACCACTGAGATGATTATAACCATATCCGTGACTGGTAATAACCATTGTGCAACAATAATAACAAAATAAAAAAAATTTAATGCGGTTTGGAAATGTATGGGCTTGGGTGAAAAAACAACAACAATTTGATGGTAATTTTTCTTCATTTCAGTGAGTAAAAATAGTCACGTGTGTGCCAAAGAAAGTACCGGTACTAAAATCAGAAATGTTTTCTATATACAAATAATCACCAAGCTTCATTTCTATTATCCCAAATGAATGTCCATTTTGTTGAACTTTAAATGAGATGACATTGTTCTAATGATTCCATCACACCATCTTCATTTCCTCTTCTTTTGTGTCTGTTCAAATGATCTTTTCCTTTGATCTCTTTAGTTTGTGTGTTAAAATGATATTTTCCTTTGATTTCTTTAGTTTGTGTGTTACAATGATATTTTCCTTTGATCTCATTAGTGTGTGTGTTAAAATTATAATTTCCTTTGATCTCTTTAGTTTGTGTGTTAAAATGATAATTTCCTTTGATCTCTTTAGTTTGTGTGTTAAAATAATTTCCTTTGATCTTTTTAGTTTGTGTGTTAAAATTATATTTTCCTTTGATCTCTTTAATTTGTGTGTTAAAATGATAATTTCCTTTGATCTCTTTAGTTGTGTGTTAAAATGATCTATTCCTTTGATCTATTTATTTTGTGTGTTAAAATAATAATTTCCTTTGATCTCTTTAGTTTGTGTGTTAAAAAAAATCTTTTCCTTTGATCTCTTTAGTTTGTGTGTTAAAATAATCTTTTTCTTTGATCTCTTTAGTTTGTGTGTTAAAATGATCTTTTCCTTTGATCTAGTTAGTTTATGTGGTAAAATGATCTTTTCCTTTGATCTAGTTAGTTTATGTGGTAAAATGATCTTTTCCTTTGATCTCATTAGTTTATGTGGTAAAATGATATTTTCCTTTGATCTCTTTAGTTTGTGTGTTTAAATGATCTTTTCCTTTGATCTCTTTAGTTTGTGTGTTAAAATGATCTTTTCCTTTGATCTATTTATTTTGTGTTAAAATGATCTTTTCCTTTGATCTCTTTAGTTTGTGTGTTAAAATGATCTTTTCCTCTGATCTCTTTAGTTTGTGTGTTAAAATGATCTTTTCCTCTGATCTAGTTAGTTTATGTGGTAAAATGATCTTTTCCTTTGATCTATTTATTTTCTGTTAAAATGATCTTTTCCTTTGATCTCTTTAGTTTGTGTGTTAAAATGATCTTTTCCTCTGATCTCTTTAGTTTGTGTGTTAAAATGATCTTTTCCTTTGATCTAGTTAGTTTATGTGGTAAAATGATCTTTTCCTTTGATCTAGTTAGTTTATGTGGTAAAATGATCTTTTCCTTTGATCTCATTAGTTTATGTGGTAAAATGATATTTTCCTTTGATCTCTTTAGTTTGTGTGTTTAAATGATCTTTTCCTTTGATCTCTTTAGTTTGTGTGTTAAAATGATCTTTTCCTTTGATCTATTTATTTTGTGTTAAAATGATCTTTTCCTTTGATCTCTTTAGTTTGTGTGTTAAAATGATCTTTTCCTCTGATCTCTTTAGTTTGTGTGTTAAAATGATCTTTTCCTCTGATCTCTTTAGTTTGCCACCTGTAATAACAGCTGAAGTAAAAGAACATTTGAGAAGCAGGGGAATGTTAGAAGATGTCCAAGGACGAAATTACTTGTTTGAAGTTGGCGGAAACCTGAGTAAGACATTTTTAAAGTAGTTTTGATGAATTTTACATCAGTACTGGCTCCTAGAGATTTCGTGCATTTCTATCTGGGAATATATGTTCTGTCCATAAAGTACATCAAGCTATGTTTGCAAATTAATTGTCTCCACACACATACACCGCCCCCCACCCCCAGTATATTACACTTTCAAAAAAAACTTTAAAAAAAACCAAACCAACTAATTGAAATTTAATTTAAAAGACACTTGGCTATTAAATCTACAATTTATAAAGGTGACGTGTCCTGTGACAATGCATCCATTACAGCAGAAAGTTCAACTTCACCGTCACTAACAGTTCTCTGGAGTGTAATGTACTTAATGGATGTTTCCATAGCATCAGATAATTATAGGAGACATTCATTAAGTTCTAGCGTTAGCTTAGAATTAGACATAGGGCACCCTTGAAAAACCAAAAAGCAAGTTTGCTAACCTCTGAAATAGTATGTAACTTTTCATGCAAAAAAATTTAACTCACAAAATATAGGAATTAAATTAATAACTTACTTACATTAAAAAAAGTAATTTCTCTTCATTTAAGGTGAAAGGTGTTTGGATCCCAAAACCAAGGTGCTATCAATCTATTCAGTCAACCCCAAGGCACACTATGTCATCAAGCCCAGGCCAGGCAGGCCTAAAGTATCATCATAACAGTTGTACCACTCAATCATCATAACAGTTGTACCACTCAATCATCATAACAGTTGTACCACTCAATCATGATAACAGTTGTATGACTCAATTATAACTGTTGTACCACTCAATTATAACTGTTGTACCACTCAATTATAATGGTTGTACCACTCAAACATAATAGTTGTACCACTCAATTATCATAACAGTTGTACCACTCATGTATCATAACATTTGTACCACTAATTTATCATAACAGTTGTACCCCTCAAACATAACAGTTGTACCCCTCAAACATAACAGTTGTACCACTTGATTATCATAACAGTTGTACCACTCAACAAAGATGACATCTAATCAGAATCTTAATGAAACAACCAATGTTACAGTTAAGAAGCTAATTATAACTTGAGGCTTATATTTTATGTGAACATGAGAGAGTTGTACCAGACGGTTTGTGCAGATGTGAACATAAGAGAGTTGTACCAGAAGGTTTGTGCAGTTGTAAACATAAGATTGCTATACCAGAATGTTTGTTCGCATGTGAACATAAGAGAGCTGTACCAGAATGTTTGTTCACATGTGAACACAAGAGAGCTGTGCCAGAATGTTTGTTCACATGTGAACATAAGAGAGCTGTACCAGAAAGTTTGTGTAGATGTGAACATAAGAGAGCTGTACCAGAAAGTTTGTGTAGATGTGAACATAAGAGAGTTGTACCAGAGGTTTGTGTAGATGTTTGGCTATCAATGTCCAGAAGGTTAGAGGCTAGGAACTCAGCTCTGGAATGGAGAACTTCAGCATTTCCAAAAAGGACATGTAGAGCAACTCAGAGCTATGTACTAACCCTTAGCGCTTGACACTCTTTAATAGTTATGTTCTCAGAAGAACTGTTTGAAATATAAGATAATATATATAATATATTTTGAATTTTAAAAAAATGATTTGAATATGAAGGTGCTCACTCTTAACGAACATGCTAGATTTCATAATATTGTATGTTATTATCCATTGCGTCCTATTAAATTTGGCTTTATAATGAGAAAATAAACTCTCCATCAAGAATATTTAAGCTTTGCTATTGAACTTTCAATGTTGAATTTTTGTTTTACTGATTTTGTAAATAGAATTTATGGGAAAGGCAAGGAAAGGGTCGAGATGAATGGAACATTCTTGGAGTTAGAAGGCTTGTGCACCAGGCGGGGAGTTACGTCCCTTTAAGTAATTTAAAAAAAAAATAATATTAAAAAAAGTAGGCCCTACACATTTCATGGGTTCATATTTTGGAAGGCTTGGGTTCGTCAGGCCATTGGGGAGTACGATGACCTTTTGGTGACTGGGAAAAAACGCAAATTTCAATGGTACGGCCACGTAACAAGGAAACAAGGGCTTGCCAAAGAAATATTGCAGGGCACCACAAGAGGATGGAGAAGAAGAGGAAGACAAAGAAAAAGATGGGAGGATAACATCAAAGAGTTGACAGGACTAACACTGGGTGATGCAGTGCGTAGTGCTGAAGACAGAGAGGAATGGAGGAGGATGGTTCACATGTCATCTGTGGCGCCCCAACGGTCCAAGGACTAAGGGACATGAGGATGAGGAGGGTCGGTGGGGCGTGGAAATGTGCCAACCCGGCCCTGGGCCACGCCACAGCTACACACTCTTTTCTATTATTAAGTCCATGTCACCGGTTGCATTAATTAGTCAGTGCAACATGTAAGGCCTGCATTTTTCGCACACTCGGTCCTTTTCTAAATAGTTGCATGCCAAGAATTTTTTCAACCACTTTCCGACGCGAATGAAAATCTTGGCTCGGTACTAACAAAAGAATAATTTGCACAACCTTGACATTAACGCAATTAATATTCGCATAAAACTCTCGAAACTGCTTTGTTATTGTCTGTGTTGTACGTCATCGATATCTGCCCAAAAGACAACTTCATATCAAGCCTAAGTTTGTCTGGCATCTCTCCCTGCACAAAAGAACAAGACAAGATGTCGCTTTTGGCGCGCCTGCAGGTGGCGCGGACACCACTTCGCTTACTTGTCGGTAACACCAAACGTCTCAACATCCATTCGAGCGTGTGTGATGCGATAAATAGCGCGGAGCCGCTGCTGTGGAAAGGCCATCTGCGAAATGAAAAAGCAAGGAATGTTTGTAAGTGCCGTGATGACGAAGATAAGTTTATCATAAACTAAAGATGTGGGTACATGCTAGGCCCATGCTAGTATTGCCTCTTGTGATTTGATATTGAGTCATGCCATCAGACATCTATATCATAGAAGTGATACGTTTAAAAATGCACCTCCTTTTTTCCCGTTTCATCAATAATATATGAGACGGCAATTACCACTTGAGCGTCTGTTAATATTTTTGCTTCCGTAAAGAGGCTATAAAGTTATATAGCACAATACTAATACATTTAAATAATTATTACTGTCAAGCTACCGATATGCCAGGAAGAAAAAGAGACAATAATTATTTATTTTTTGGGGATCCAGATGACGCGGATGTCCACACACAGAATGTGGAAAACGTGAATGCTCAGAAAGTGTAAACTGAAAAGACAGTTTGGCACAAGAAGAACTCCGGTGATCTTTCCCCTTCATATTGACGTGGATTCATGTACCACAACCGTTTTCGTGGAAATTATATTTTTTAAACTTCATTGTCAACTTGGTGGGAGAACTATGCATAATTCCATTTTCACACATTATCTTCTATTTAATAAAAAATTGTTATAGTTTTTCTATTTAAAAAAAAAAATGTCTATTATTATGGGAATGAATACGTACAACCAATGTCATTAAAAATAATATATGAATAGTTATTTAAATAGCCCTTCCAACCGGAACAGCTGGATTTTTTCTTGGCCGACGCTCGAGTGGTGGATTACCTTTGAGACACACATTCACTCTCGTATGAGACAAACATCCACTCTCGTATGAGACACACATTCACTGTCGTATGAGCCACACATTCACTCTTATATGAAAACATATTTAATCTTTTATATGAAAACAGTGTATACTGACTATTCTGGCGCCCCCTGCTGTTGGCTCCTGAGGGGTGGTAGGGTGCTCGTTTTTGAACCGGTCTAGTTTTCCCCCCACCAATAAGCCTACCACCCTCCACCATCGCACACACACTTGTGATACTAACATGGTGACTGTGAACACTATTGAAAGCGTTTGAACTAAAACTATAAATACATTGCTGAAGTTTTACGAACTGTGCCAACTTGGTTTGAAAACGGCACACCATTAAATTAAATCACACACAACAAAGTAACAGTTACTGACACGTCAGGATGAAATCAAAATATGTACATTAAAATAAAATATTCTAAATAATTTTAAAACACTTTTGATTTAAAAGTAACTTTAAATCAGATTTTGAATGTTAAAAATCAACAATATGAAAAAGAATGCTGCATTGACTGAAAAGTGTACGTCATCCTCAAGCTAGAAAAGACTTGGATGTAAAACTCAAATGTATTTTTGTTTTCATAGTTGAATTACAATGGTTCCTTTCAGTTCGAGATATTGAGATGGCGACAGTCTCACAGGTTAAAAGTGCTTGGACTCACATACAGGCCATTACCTTTCCATCAACGTTCAACACTGAGCCCAAGCAAGATGGAAATACTGAGGTCAGTGCTGTAGAGTTCAGCAGAGCTAGGACATTCATAAATTAGGAAACCATAATATTAAACATTGAGTTTAAAAACAAAAATCTATGAAATTTTTATTACTTTTTATATTTGGCTTCGATTTATTTTCCTAGTGAGACTTAATCCGTACTAGCTATAGCCACCCTGCCAAGGGCGTCCGCAATAAGTGAACTTTTTAAAATGGTTTCATGTGAAGATTAATAGAAGTAATAAATTACGCTAGTTTGACAAAATCAAATGGTTTAAATTTCTTACTATTTTATTATACTAATTAAAAATTAAATTTATTAACAAAAGCCTCTAACGGTATTTTTTTTTTTGGGGGGGGGGGGGGGGGATGGGGGGGAGATGGGATGGGGAGGGGTGGTTCCCGATTTTCATATGCCTCACATTGTCTTTTCCTTAGGTCCTTAAGGCAGGACCACCTGGACACTGGATACCGAACATCTACCAGAAAGAGAGATTACTGGATGGCCTGTTTGCCTTTGGAAGTCATAACATCTCGGCACGTTTCAAACAATGTCTTAGACCTTGGTCTCCAAGCTGCGCTGGATTTCAGTTAGTTCCCGCTCGACACTACTGTATCCCTACAAATTTTAGAGTATGTTACTTATGCTGCAGTATTTGGTTACAGCTACATGCAGTGGCGTGGGAAGGGGTGGGCGGAGGGGGTGATCCGCCCTCGGTGGAATATATTTTCTTTATACTGACGAGCGCATTTTCGACCATCTGTGGCTTTCTTTTCCCGTAGATATTGGCGTCAAAAAGCAAACCCCGATCCTGGCGGGACTCACCCTAGCTAAGCCCGCCCCTAACGGGACTCACCCTAGCTAAGCCCGCCCCTAACGGGACTCACCCTAGCTAAGCCCGCCCCTAACGGGACTCACCCTAGCTAAGCCCGCCCCTAACGGGACTCACCCTAGCTAAGCCCGCCCCTAACGGGACTCACCCTAGCTAAGCCCGCCCCTAACGGGACTCACCCTAGCTAAGCCCGCCCCTAACGGGACTCACCCTAGCTAAGCCCGCCCCTAACGGGACTCACCCTAGCTAAGCCCGCCCCTAACGGGACTCACCCTAGCTAAGCCCGCCCCTAACGGGACTCACCCTAGCTAAGCCCGCCCCTAACGGGACTCACCCTAGCTAAGCCCGCCCCTAACGGGACTCACCCTAGCTAAGCCCGCCCCTAACGGGACTCACCCTAGCTAAGCCCGCCCCTAACGGGACTCACCCTAGCTAAGCCCGCCCCTAACGGGACTCACCCTAGCTAAGCCCGCCCCTAACGGGACTCACCCTAGCTAAGCCCGCCCCTAACGGGACTCACCCTAGCTAAGCCCGCCCCTAACGGGACTCACCCTAGCTAAGCCCGCCCCTAACGGGACTCACCCTAGCTAAGCCCGCCCCTAACGGGACTCACCCTAGCTAAGCCCGCCCCTAACGGGACTCACCCTAGCTAAGCCCGCCCCTAACGGGACTCACCCTAGCTAAGCCCGCCCCTAACGGGACTCACCCTAGCTAAACCCGCCCCTGGCGGGAATCACCGTATCTAAGCCACCCTCCCCTGACGGGACTCACCCAAGCTAAGCCCACTCTTGACGGGACTCACCCAAGCTAAGCCCGCTCCTGACGGGACTCACCCAAGCTAAGCCCGCTCCTGACGGGACTCACCCAAGCTAAGCCCGCTCCTGACTGAACTCACCCAAGCTAAGCCCNNNNAAGCCCGCTCCTGACTGAACTCCCCCAAGCTAAGCCCCCCCCCCCCGACGGGACTCACCCAACCTAAGCCCGCCCCTGACGGGACTCACCCAACCTAAGCCCGACCCTAACGGGACTCACCCAAGCTAAGCCCCCCTCCCCTGATGGGACTCACCCTAGCTAAGTCCAACCCGGACGGGACTCACCCAAGCTAAGCCCGCCCCTGACGCGACTCACCCAAGCAAAGCCCTGGGTACTGGTATAAGTGAAATATTACTTGAAAATATGTGAACTTATTTGGTTGTGTAGTGTAAAGCATGCAAATACATTGGTCAACAATTATGAGAAGTTGTATTGAGATTTGATTGACGATGTAGAGAAGGACTTAGGGAGGCGGATAGCTATGGATCGATCCGAACGGATTGATGTCGAGGCGCAGGCCAGGACCCTAAATGTTCTGCAGCGCCACTGATGATGATGTGTCAGTAGCGGCGTCACTAGAGGGGTTAGGGGGTGACGCCGCAGTGAAAACAGCGAATTCTTCATTTCATTCCGTCAATACTTGAGAGGTAAATTTTGTAAAAAATGTATAACTGAGTTTTGTTGTTTTTTTTTTGAAGCCCTTCCCATTGCCAAGTGATCCACTTGGAAATACATTTGCTATGGATCTGGGACCGGACGATCAGCTCAAGTTACAGAAAATAGCATACCAAGAACTGAAAACGCATCTAAAAAAACACAAAGTTTCATATAAAAAACGCAGCAAGGTTGATGAACAAGGCAACTGTAAGATAACGTTGTGTTGAAGTGTTGAAATAAATTATAGAATTTGCATTGATCATGTTGACTGACACCGTTAGACTGACAGCATCTATTGTGTGACAGGCACACCGTTAGGCTGACAGCATCTATTGTGTGACAGGCACACCGTTAAACTGACAGCATCTATTGTGTGACGGGCCCACCGTTAGACTGACAGCATCTATTGTGTGACAGGCACACCGTTAGGCTGACAGCATCTATTGTGTGACGGGCCCACCGTTAGACTGACAGCATCTATTGTGTGACAGGCCCACCGTTAGGCTGACAGCATCTATTGTGTGACAGGCCCACCGTTAGGCTGACAGCATCTATTGTGTGACAGGCCCACCGTTAGACTGACAACATCTATTGTGTGACGGGCCCACCGTTAGACTGACAGCATCTATTGTGTGACAGGCCCACCGTTAGACTGACAGCATCTATTGGGTGACGGGCCCACCGTTAGACTGACAGCATCTATTGTGTGACAGGCCCACCGTTAGGCTGACAGCATCTATTGTGTGACGGGCCCACCGTTAGGCTGACAGCATCTATTGTGTGACGGGCCCACCGTTAGACTGACAGCATCTATTGTGTGACAGGCCCACCGTTAGACTGACAGCATCTATTGTGTGACGGGCCCACCGTTAGACTGACAGCATCAAATGTGTGACAGGCCCACCGTTAGACTGACAGCATCTATTGTGTGACAGGCACACCGTTAGACTGACAGCATCTATTGTGTGACAGGCACACCGTTAGACTTACGACATCAATTGCTATTGTTGTTATAACGTAATGATATGTAAAATATTAAGTGAAATAAAAAGAAAAGAGTAAAAAAAAAATCATTTTTCTAATTAAATGTATTACGCCAACATGGGCGACCCCCTAATCCCTTAACCCTAACCCCAACCCCACCCCCTTCAAAATCAGTTTTAACGCTCCAATGATTACACGAAATGAAAGTCCTGATAACTGAGCTCAATGAGATTCTTGAAATACCGCACCTGCNCCCCCCCCAAGAAAGTTTTCTGCGGGTGCCCATGTACGCCACCCTACTTAAAATACGCGCGCAACTAAAAAGGAACATTGATGATAAACCATCTGAACGGATAAATATTAAGTCTATTGTACTTGATATAAAAAGTTGAACCTTGCTAAATTTAACTTACTTATAAAAATTTCAAGTTTCTTATGATTTTTTTTTTTTTTACAATTAAAAACAAATGTATTTGTAATGTAATGTAATGTAATTACATTTTCCGATATGATTATTATATACTATCAGTCCCCAAAATCCCTCTTTGTAATGAACATTTGATAAGCATAAGTGATTGTTTTAAACAACGCTCAATACTATTGGGTGCCGTCCATGGCTAGACAGTGGTCAATAGTACTTGGGTGGCTGCCGTCCATGGCTAGACAGGGGTCAATAGTACTTTGGTGGGTGCGTCCATGGCTAGACAGGGGTCAATAGTACTTGGGTGGGTGCCGTCCATGGCTAGAAAATGCTCAAAAGTACTTAGGTGGGTGCTGTCCATGGCTAGAAAGGGGTCAATAGTACTTGGGTGGGTGCTGTCCATGGCTAGAAAGGGGTCAATAGTACTTGGGTGGGTGCTGTCCATGGCTAGAAAGGGGTCAATAGTACTTGCGTGGGTTCCGTCCATGGCTAGAAAGGGGTCAATAGTACTTGGGTGGGTGCTGTCCATGGCTAGAAAGGGGTCAATAGTACTTGCGTGGGTGCCGTCCATGGCTAAGTTTTTATGCGAAGCCCCGTGAGCCTTGCCTACTAATGCTATTTTATCAGTACACTAGAAATCTTAAACTTGGTCGCTAACAGATTGAAGGATGACCCAATGAGCAAATAGTGTGTGATCCAACACATGTGCTGTATCAACACAGGCATTACGACACACACACATACACACACACGCGTTACCATTCAACGTCAAGTTACGACACAATGACAAGTTATGACACAATGACAAATTTTGACACAATGACAAGTTACGACACAATCACAAGTTATGACAAAATGACAAGTTTTGACACAATGACAAGTTATGACACAATGACAAGTTTTTACACAATGACAAGTTATGGCACAATGACAAGTTACGACACAATGACAAGTTACGACACAATGACAAGTTTTGACACAATGAAAATTTATGACACTCTCAGACACGCTATGAAATAATGACAAGTTACGAAATAAAGACAAGTTATGACACAATGAAAAGTTATGACACAGTGACAAGTTATAACACAATGAAAAGTTTTGACACTATGACAAGTTAAGACACAAAGACAAATTATGACACAATGACAAGTTTTGACACAATGACAAGTTATGGCAAAATGACAAGTTACGACACAATGACAAGTTATGACACAATGACAAGTTTTGATACAATGACAATTTATGACACTCACAGACACGCTATGAAATAATGACAAGTTATAACACAAAGACAAGTTATGACACAGTGACAAGTTATGACACAATTACAAATAATGACACAATGACAAGTGATTGCAAATTATGACACAATACGTAAGCTTAAACAAAACACACATGTTAGGACAAAACAACAAATCATGACACAGTAAACACGCGATGACATAACAGACACGCTATGACACAGCACAGATGTAATGACACAATAAACAGAGACTAATTGCTTAAGTTTATGACACTAGACACAAGTTTAAGACACTAAACACAAGTTTAAGACACTAGACACAAGTTTAAGACACTAGACACAAGTTTAAGACACTATAGACACAAGTTTAAGACACTAGACACACGTTTAAGGAAAAGAAACCCACCTTAAAACACAGGATGCAACCTGTCACACAACAAACACTTATTTGATTTATAACACAATGCACAAGCTCTAACACAGCACCAACGGCCAACACATTTAATGTATAACACACTATATTACTCAACACTTCATTGGTAGCATTATTTCTCATCATCTTTTCAGCCATATCAATCCTGGGAACATCTTTAGATTTTGAGGCAGCCAAAGATTTAAAGGACAACAGAATTACAAGAGATCTCCAAGTTCCAAACTTGTTATATTTGGTATAAAGAAATAGAGGTTTAATTCTAACATTGGTATAAAGCAGGGGTCTCAAACTCGCGGCCCGCGGACCATTTGCGGCCCGCAAGACGATGATATTTTGCGGCCCGCTACCTGACAGCAAGGTTCAGTGTTAATGCGGCCCGCGCGTTTTCTCCATTTCTCATATCTATAACGTGACCCTCCGCGACAGTTTCAGTGGAATCTCACCTACTAGTCTAATTCTGATTTTAATTATGGTTGTATAGATTTGGACGTTGGTTATAATGGTTAACAATCTCACCTACTAGTCTAATTCTGATTTTAATGATGGTTGTATAGATTTGGACGTTAGCTATAATGGTTAAAACCGTTTTAAAATCGGAATAAAAGTGTTTATTTTATAGAGACATTTAATGAGACAAAAAGTTTTAAAAGTCATTTAGTGGATAAGGCATAACTATGGACAACCATAGTTGTGTAAATTGTAGCAATCTTACACAGTATCAAAGAATCCGTAATAAAATTGCCGCAAGTGTTTACGAGTGAGGGAAATTCCGAGCTGGGTCACTTTCAAAATAGTGCTAGTCAAAAAGGCCTTTTCTAAGATTAAAAATAAAAACTCATTCTCCCTACAATAGCATCTTCCTTCGCATCAATAATACATCAATATTGCCTGCCCCTGCCTACACCTGCCTACTGCTTGTACATGTTTTTGCCTTCAAAGCCTTCATTGAGAAGGATGGAATGGTTGTTTCTGTACAAAGTGATCCCTAAATGGCTCATGGACCTGGCTTTTCTTGTTGACATTACAGAGAGGCTGAATGTAATCAACAAGAAGTTACAAGACCAGGGATAGTTTGTCAGTGTTGCCTATGACAATGTCAGGGCATTCTGAACACAATTTGTGTTATGGTTCTAAAAGAAAACTCTGCCATTTCGCAACATGCAAAATACTCATGGACTCGGGCACACCATTCAGTAGTAGGTCTACTGATGCCATTGCAAAGCTACAGGAAGAATTTGATCAAATGTTTGCAGACCTTAAAACACACAGAGCCACGTTTAAAATTTTTGCTAACCCTTTCTCCTTTAATGTGGAAGATGCCCCCTTTCCCTTTTTGTGTGATCCAAGCAGAGCTGATTGATCTTCAGTGCAATTCTGAACTCAAGACTAAGTTCAGGGAGGTGAATGGAAAAAAAGACAAGCATTGACAATTTATGAGAGCATTGCCCTCCACCTTCCCTGATATTTCGAGGTTGTTCAAGCGGATTATGTGCCTTTTTTTGGGAGTACCTATCTGTTTGAAAGTTTTTGCACTATGAACTTTAACAATTAACTTACAGTTGAGCATCTTCAAGCTATACCGAGCGTCTCAGTTGCTTCCTCACTCAACCCAAGTGTTGCTCAGCAGTGTAAGAAGAGGGAGTAGGAAGAAGAATGTTCTTGAAAACCGTTAATATTTTTATTTGTTATAAATCAAGGTTGAGCAGATAGTAACAGTCGTACTTTATTGAATTTGTAATCGCCTATTTGTGGAATACTTGGTGCGACCCAGTCTCACTCAGACTCCCCCGGATGATTTGAGTTTGATACCCCTGGTTATAAAGAAATACAGGTTCCATTCTAACATTTGTATAAAGAAATATAGGTTTAATTATAACAAAAAATATTAATTTACTTTCTACTGCAACCAAGGACATTAGTAATGTAGTTACATCCTTGACTTTACTTTAACTAGCAGTACTTACGGTGAAATTGTGTTACATTGTGTGTTGTTTAAGTTGCATGATACAAGGGAACTCACCCCCACACTTCTTTTTTCACGTTCCTCTCCCCTGCCCTATGCATTGCTCTGCTATCTCCAAGGAAAATATTTAACATAATTTGTAGATGAAATATGATAAATTTATAAGTCTGTAGTCCCATTAAACTGCTATGTGAACAGTCTATTGTCCCAGTAGACTGATTTGTGGTCTATAAGTCTATACAAGTTAAACACTTACTTTCTATTTCTTGTCGTATTTTCATTTGTCCTGTATATTGGGGGAGGCTCTTAGCCGAATCGTTCTTATTCTATTGTGCCGTCTTTCGTTTGAAGCTTTCACATATCTTGTCCTAATATTCCCTTCCACATATCTTGTCCTAATATTCCCTTCCACATATCTTGTCCTAATATTCCCTTCCACATATCTTGTCCTAATATTCCCTTCCACATATCTTGTCCTAATATTCCCTTCCACATATCTTGTCCTAATATTCCCTTCCACATATCTTGTCCTAATATTCCCTTCCACATATCTTGTCCTAATATTCCCTTCCACATATCTTGTCCTAATATTCCCTTCCACATATCTTGTCCTAATATTCCCTTCCACATATCTTGTCCTAATATTCCCTTTCACACAGCTTGATCCCAGTCCTATAATTATCTGTTATCCTCACGGCTCAAAGCTGGTAATGGACACACAAAAGTGATTTGGGTGGGTGGGTCTTTTGATGCTGATCAGGTTGCCAAAAATACTTTATAGTTAATGTAATTATTGTTCCTCTTATTATTTATGTTCAACTTTTCTACTTACCCATCAGATGCTGGACTACATTAAGGAGAAAGGGATGACCAAAAAGAAAGTGTTTGCTGTGACGGGACATGGTGAAAGGATCAAGGTCCAAGCAGCCCATTCTGTCCTATAGATTTTAAATTATTTTTTAGAATTTGACCTTAAATGTTACTGTGAAGATAATGCTTAGATATATTTCTATTTAAGAAAATGTAGATTCTTTTACGAGTAAAAGCTGATTAAATCACTATCATGAATAAGTTTGTTAGCGATTTTAGTTGCTCTTTGATATTAAGTCTTTTAAAACTAAGCAAACCTCACTCCAAAAAGTCATCTTAATCAGCTTAAACTGTCATTTAATTTTTAAGTCGTATGTCATTATTATAAACTTTAATCAATTTAAACATTATCGATTTTTATGGATGTAGCATTATTTGACAGTGTGTTTCCTGATACCCCATTGTCCGGCGTTATGTATGTCAATACCCACAATTATTTAACCAATGTATTTTATATACTAAGTACTTAAAATAAACAGCTTCACATCACAATTTGTCAGGGGCAGAAACAAATTGTTTGATATCACAATGTGTCAGGGGCAGAAACAAATTGTTTGATATCACAATACGTCAGGGGCAGAAACAAATTGTTTGATATCACAATGTGTCAGGGGCAGAAACAAATTGTTTGATGTCACAATACGTCAGGGGCAGAAACAAATTGTTTGATATCACAATGTGTCAGGGGCAGAAACGAATTGTTTGATGTCACAATACGTCAGGGGCAGAAACAAATTGTTTGATGTCACAATACGTCAGGGGCATAAACGAATTGTTTGATGTCACAATACGTCAGGGGCAGAAACGAATTGTTTGATGTCACAATACGTCAGGGGCAGAAACGAAATGTTTTGTATCAAACAAATTGTTTTCCAATGTTTTTTTGTTTCAAATATTTGCCTTAGGCTTTGATGGTAAAGATGCGGCAGGAAAAGGATCGTCCGGACTTTACCATACCACCAGGCACCAGTGCTCATGACGTAGCAACCATTGCCTTAGGATACCTCACTAACCTGCCCGTGCCTCTTATGGCAAGTGAGAAAATCGATGTGTACCCCAATTTACAAAGTGAGTTGATTATAAACTAACAGGATACGAAATCGTGGCTACTGTTTAAATAGGACAAAAAATAGTTACAATTCAGGTAGTTATTGGTGAGGGACATTTTTCGAACTTACCAATTAACGCAAATTGTTGTTGTCCTGATTAAAATTAATAGACCTGTTGCCGATCTCTGGAATAATCTAGTCATACAATCTCTGAAATAATCTATTCATATAATCTCTGAAATAATATAGTCATATAATCTCTGAAATAATATAGTCATATAATCTCTGGAATAATCTAGTCATACAATCTCTGAAATAATCTATTCATATAATCTCTGAAATAATCTAGTCATATAATCTCTGAAATAATATAGTCATATAATCTCTGAAAGAATATAGTCATATAATCTTTGAAAGAATCTAGTCATGTAATCTCTGAAATAATCTAGTCATATAATCTCTGAAATAATCTAATGTTAATTCTTGCCCTCAGACTTAAATTTTATTCCACACCAAGTTCGGGCGTTGAATTTGTTTATTCTTTCAATGAGTCAGCCACACAGAGACACATTACATGTAAGTAGAGCCAGCCACACAGAGACACATTATATGTAAGTAGGGCCAGCCCCACAGAGACACATTACATGTAAGTAGAGCCAGCCACATAGAGACACATTGCATGTAAGTAGAGCCAGCCACACAGAGACACATTACATGTAATTAGAGCCAGCCACATAGAGACACATTACATGTAAGTAGAACCAGCCCCCACAGAGACACATTACATGTAAGTAGAGCCAGGCACATAGAGACACATTACATGTAAGTAGAGCCAGCCACATAGAGACACATTACATGTAAGTAGAGCCAGCCACATAGAGACACATTACATGGAAGTAGAACCAGCCCCACAGAGACACATTACATGTAAGTAGAGCCAGCCACACAGAGACACATTACATGTAAGTAGAGCCAGGCCAGAGACAAATTTTGACTTGTTTAAGATAGGCAGCAGCCAGAAACTATTTGAAGCGTCTAGGCCAGTGGTTCTTAACCTGAGTTCGATTGAGTCAGTTGAGTGCGGTGGGTCAGTCTCAGGGAATTGGTGGAGGTCCAAAAAAAAAAAAAAATCATATTTTATGTTTCCTATTAAGAAGAGTTTGTTGAATGCTCATAGAAAACTGATGGGGTTCAGTACCTCCAAAATGGTTAAGAACCACTGTTCTAGACCATATATGAGTCTACTAGACCCAATATGAACCTACTAGACCCTATATGAAGCAGCTAGACCCCATATGAACCTACTAGGCCATATATGAAGCAGCTAGACCCCATATGAACCTACTAGGCCATATATGAAGCAGCTAGACCCCATATGAACCTACTAGGCGCTATATGAAGCAGCTAGATCCCATATGAACCTACTAGGCCATATATGAAACAGCTAGACCCCATATGAACCTACTATGCCATATATGAAGCAGCTAGACCCCATATGAACCTACTAGACCATATATGAAGCAGCTAGACCCCATATGAACCTACTAGGCCATATATGAAGCAGCTAGACCCCATATGAACCTACTAGGCCATATATGAAGCAGCTAGATCCCATATGAACCTACTAGGCCATATATGAAGCAGCTAGACCCCATATGAACCTACTAGGCAATATATATGAAGCAGCTAGACCCCATATGAACCTACTAGGCCATAAATGAAGCAGCTAGATCCTATATGAACCTACTAGACCATATATGAAGCAGCTATTATAAACTTTTTTTATGCTATGGTAATATTGTATCTGTATTTTTGTATGTATTTAGTTGCTTTTAATTTTAAATAAAATAAAAAAGGTACATTTGTATCCTCCATTGACTTAATATTGATCAAGCCCTTACCTTGTTGACATTTTAAGTGGACATCTTCTTCCTCTATATCTTAAGGGCCCACGATCAATTTATTGATCATTTTGGCTCCTAAGCATGTAGATGGGATTTGCAATGTTTCTGTTCCTGGTGTTGATGAGGAAATTTCACAGATTTCCATTGCCACTTTGTGAGGGAATCATGCACTGGGGGTTTGAAGGCTTGAGGCAATAGACACAAATGTGTCTAGTGTTGTTGCCTCAACCGTTCCTTTGGAAAAATTGTTCCATCTAAACATGAATGCCACATGAGCATGAGTTTGGAAGTCCCACTTGCACACTCTATTTGATTTAATGAGAGGTTATCTTAGTACAAACTCTCTTTCCATTTTCTATTCATTATTTCGCACGATTCAAGAAAGGGATGCTTGAAACGTCTTCTTTTCACAACCAGATGCTACTCACTACATTATACGAACTGATACGGAACCAACCAACTACACAACTCGACATTGAAACCGTGGCAACGATTTTTGGAGTAAATATTTTTAGATTGTCTCAGAAGGCAAGTCAAGTGGATGTGGCCTTGAGAAATGTTGATTGGGTTTACCTGACCAAGGCCATGATCAACAACCATAAGACGATCTTCCATGTAAGGTGTTCTTCCATTAAATGTTATATTTTTTCATGGTGCAAATTTAGACGTTAGCACTTAAACCCCGGTCCACTACATTCAATGTTAGGATGGAACACCCATTCATGTTATTAACGGCCTTTCACCGTGATTAACTAACTTTCCTTGTAATTAACCACTTTTCACTGTAATTAACCCTCTTTAACCGTCATTAACCATGTTTCATTGTATTTAACAATCTTTAACCGTAATTAGCCATCTTTAACAGTAATTAACCACCTTCCTTGTAATTAACCACCTTTCCTTGTAATTAACCACCTTTCCTTGTATTTAACCACCTTTCCTTGTAATTAACCACCTTTCTTTGTATTTAACCACCTTTCATCGTAATTAACCACCTTTCCTTGTAATTGACCATCTTTCTTTTTATTTAACCACCTTTCATCGTAATTAACCACCTTTCCTTGTAATTAACCACCTTTCTTTGTATTTAACCACCTTGCCTTGTAATTAACCACCTTTCCTTGTAATTAACCACCTTTCCTTGTAATTAACCACCTTTCCTTGTAATTAACCACCTTTCCTTGTAATTAACCACCTTTCCTTGTAATTAACCACCTTTCATTTTAATTAACCACATTTCACCGTAATTAACCATCTTTAACCGTAATTAACCATGTTTCATTGTATTTAACCACCTTTCCTTGTAATTAACCACCTTCCACCGTAATTAACCAGCTTCCACCGTAATTAACCACCTTTCACCGTGCACACATTACACCATGAGGATAGCTGTAGAAATTCCGTGTCTTTCGTCCAAACTCTTAGGACCATTCCTTAGACATTGACTTCTTCTCGATACTATATGTGGGTCAGCCATCTCGCCACTTCCTCCATGTCTTTCCTAGTTACCAAACTTCCACAAATATAAATTGGATTTATCTCCCAAACCTATTAACATAAAAAGAATATGTTACAATTGTACATAAAAGTTTGTGTCAAGAGTAGCAATACAGTATTATAGCGTTTGTGTCAATAGTAGCAATACAGCATTATGAAGTATGTGTCAAGAGTAGCCATACAGCATTATGAGTATGTGTCAAGAGTAGCAATACAGCATTATAGAGTCTGTGTCAAAATAGCAATACAGCATTATGAAGTATGTGTCAAGAGTAGCAATACAGCATTATGAAGTATGTGTCAAGAGTAGCAATACAGCATTATGAAGTATGTGTCAAGAGTAGCCATAGAGCATTATGAGTATGTGTTAAGAGTAGCAATACAGCATTATAGAGTATGTGTCAAGAGTAGCCATACAGCATTATAGAGTTTGTGTCAAGAGTAGCAATACAGCATTATAGAGTATGTGTCAAGAGTAGCAATACAGCGGCGAAAGCACCAGGCCCAGACAAAGTTCACAATGAAATGTTAACCCACCTGGGTAAACTGGGGAGAGAACTTCTGCTGGCTCTCATTAACCGAACTTGGACTACAGGTATTTTACCGAAAGTGTGGAAGCAGGCCATAGTGGTTCCCGTACCAAAGGAGGGAAAACCAGGCCATTTACCAAGTAGCTACAGGCCAATATCGCTAACGTCCTGAGTGGGTAAAGTGGCCGAGCGAATGGTAAATGGACGACTCTACTGGTTTTTGGAGAGTAAAAAGCACCTACCACCGACGCAAGGTGGCTTCCGTAAGGGCAGGCAGCCCATGGACCAGGTGATCCGTCTTGTTCAGTCCATGACCAATGAACTTCAGAAGAAAAATCATTCATTGGCAATTTTCTTTGACCTCAAGCAAGCATATGACCGCGTGTGGCGCGTAGGCCTCATGTACAAATTCCAGAAATTGGGAATCACTGGAAACATGTCCGGGTGGGTGACGGACTTTCTCAAGGACAGGTATATTGTCACACGGGTTGGCAATAGTCTATCGAAGCGGCTTGCTCTAGAGGACGGACTCCCCCAGGGGTCTGCCCTCAGCTGCACCTTGTTCTTGGCCTATGTCTATGACTTGCAAGAGGGCTTAGTGTCCGATAATGCCATGTTCGCTGATGATTTAGTAATCTGGACTTCTGGGCCAAACATCAACCATTTGCAGAACCGGCTGCAAAATGATCTCCATAGCATCGAGGACTATGCGAGACGGTGGAAAATGGTTGTGAACACTGAGAAGACGGTTTACTCTAGGTTTATCAATGGAAGAAAGGTGCTTGAGGCCGATATTAAACTCTCCATAAATGGGACAGATTTGGTATGGGACAGGACTCCAGTGTACCTTGGGATTAAGTTGGACCAGAAGCTCCGACTCCATCACCATGTTCACGAACTGTGCGCCAAAGCTTCACAAAAACTTGGTTTGGTGAAAAAGCTGGCTTGTACCAGATGGGGTGCAGATGCAAGTCTGTTGAGGTCGCTCTACCTCAGCAGTGTGAGAGGAACAATTGACTACAGTTTGCCCGTCCTAGCCTTCGCAAGCCATACGGCTTTAGAGGAACTGGACCGCATCCAAAACCGTGCTCTAAGGTTTGCATGCGGGGCAATACGGACCACACCCACGGCGGCGGTGGAGATCATTTCCAATGTCGAACCGCTCGAGGTCAGGCGAGAGAAGGCTGTCCTTGCGACGGTAGAGCGTTACCGCCGCATGGACAGAAAGGATCCCTGTTTCAAATTGCAAGACGAATGGGAGAAAAAGTCCAGATTGAAGCGACCATCCTTCATGGACATGGTTCACAGTCTTGAAAAAGACGTTATTCTGCCCAGAAACAGGGAAAAAGTGAAAGTGATCCCCGCGCGGGGGCCACACAATAGCCTTCCCCTACCAGACATTCGACTGGAAATGGTTGATGCCAAAGCCAGCGAAGGCAGTCCTCAATTAGACCCATCAGAGGCTGTACGGCGCACGATTAAAGCCTATCCGAATAGCTTGGTTAAAGTCTTTACAGACGGCTCATGTTTCACGGAGGAAAAGCGTAGCGGCTACGGTGTCCTCATCCAGTATCCCGCAGAGATAGCCCCACCCGAGGAGCTATCAGGCCCATGCGGTAGGAATGCAACGATCCTCGATGCGGAAATTGAGGCGATACTGGTAGCTCTCAAGAGGTTGAACCAACGGCTAGCTAAACGAAAGTCCTTCCCGGACGTTGTGGTCTTCACCGACTCTCGTTCTGCTCTCGAACTCATGGGGGAGAGATCGGTGGGCTCGACAAAGATCACTGCCATTTTGGAGACAGTAGGCTCCATCCATGCACATGGCCCCAAGGTAGTCTTCCAGCTTATCACTTCGCGCTTAGAGGCGTCGCTTCCCGACAGGGCCGATTTCTTAGCCCAAGAAGGCGCAGCCCTACCTCAACCAGACAAACCCATGACCCAGCTCGGAGTCACTGCCTGGTTGAAAGACCATTTCAGGAGAAAATGGCTTGGAAAGTGGGACACGGCCACTACTGGACGACAGTTTTACCAGGAATTTCAGCGGCCGAGCAAAAGCGACCCATGGTGGAAGCTTAGTCGTGGAGAACAAAGCCTTATCACACAGATGAGAACTTGGCACTGCGCTACGCGCAGTTATCTCCACCGACTCGATAACAGAAGGGAACTTTTGTGCCGATTATGTGGACTTGAAGAGGAGACAGTAGCCCACTTGGTTGTCACGTGTCCGGACAGTGGGACGGGGGCCGACGGTAGGAATCCGGAAGCCTGCCTTAATGATCTCCTTTACGGAAGCGCCCAGCAGATGAGGCGCGCCGTAAAAATCATGTCCAGGGTCCTAAGAGATTGAATCTCGACCCTTTTGAGTATTAATCTTTATAAGCAATACAGCATTATATAGTATGTGTCAAGAGTAGTAATACTGAAACTCCCGCAACTTGAAACGTGTTCCCGATAGTTAAAAGGAGATATTTGGACAGTTTGAATTGGAAATGGACGGAAAAGTATTCACAGTTGACTATTATCTTTGCTCATACGTCATAGGTCATAGGTCACTGGTCGTGAATGGGGGACTACGTTTTAAAAAAATAACTTTTTAGTAGACATAATTACTCTGAGAAAGACACGTTTTTTAATGTCATTAAAGTAATTGACCTTTAATGTCATAGAAATAGCTGACCTTAATGTTATTAAAATACGTGTAGTTTATTAGCGTCGAAATCATCATTTTCATCATTGTTATTTTTTTTTCTCTAGGTTGAGCCTGACTTGATGCTTCAACTCAGATCTGATGCTAAGGAAAAGGGCGGTGTAAGTAAACAGATGAAAAGTGGGGAGTGTTGTGTTGAAAATGGTTGCTGTGAAAAAGGGGAGCGTGGTCTTGAAAATGGTTGCTGTGTGTACATTTTATTTAAAACGTACTATCAAAGATTGCTGTCTTGATGACTCAATCAATATCTAAGATTATTTCCCCAACAAATGTGTTCGTTTGACCCTATCCCCAGTTTCTCTCGGGTCTACGTAAGAAGAAGGACAAAGCTGCCGGAGGACCCCCACCGGTAAGACGATTAACGCTTTAATTCATAAGTTACAGAAGTCGATATTTAGCTTTGCAACTTGCATGCAAGATTCACTCACAATTATTAACATTTTAAACAAATATTTAAAAAAGAAAATATTTACTAATAAAATAAAGGCTTGCAGTGGTAGTCACGTATGTACAAGTAAGATTAGAAACTATTTAAAAGACCCTTAACTCTCAATTCAGGATTTGAGGTAAAAAAACAGCAAGTATTGTTGGGGCGAAGGGGTGGTCAGTTGTGGAATTTTGAAGTATTGAATTTCAGAATAGTACCTTGTCAATGACTTTATTGAATCTTTTAAAGGAATTGAATGGGCACTGTGTGCTTGTTTGCGTGACCAATTAATATTGAGACAGAGAATGCGTTTATAATCCTTCTTATATATTTAAAATGATTTGTGATATTAGGACTCCCTACAAAACATGTTATCATTATAGTAATGGAGGACTCGGTCAAGTTATAAAACAGAACCAACTAAGTTTTGTTTGAATGATTTTACTACAATCTGTCGTTTTCATGAACAAACAGCCTGTTCCAAACACTATGAACTTGAAAGTATCGGCACCTTCGCTCCCAAGGACTGCCCTCACCTTGGCATTCACACCTCAAACAAAGGCTGAGGATGTTGTCCACACTTACCTTGGAATCTGCAAGTAAGTTACTGATTGGATGTATAAACATTCAAGTAAGTGATTGATTCTCATCTTTAAGTTCATCTCACTACTCCAAAGTTCATCTCACTACTCCAAAGTTCATCTAAATGCTCAAAAGTTCATCTCAATACTCCAAAGTTCATCTCAATACTCCAAAGTTCATCTCAATACTCCAAAGTTCATCTCAATACTCCAAAGTTCATCTCAATACTCCAAAGTTCATCTCAATACTCCAAAGTTCATCTCACTACTCCAAAGTTCATCTCACTACTCCAAAGTTCATCTCAATACTCCAAAGTTCATCTCAATACTCCAAAGTTCATCTCAATACTCCAAAGTTCATCTCAATACTCCAAAGTTCATCTCAACACTCCAAAGTTCATCTCAATACTCCAAAGTTCATCTCAATACTCAAAAGTTCATCTCAATACTCAAAAGTTCATCTCAACACTCCAAAATTCATCTCAACACTCCAAAATTCATCTCAACACTCAAAAGTTCATCTCAACACTCAAAAGTTCATCTCAATACTCAAAAGTTCATCTCAATACTCCAAAGTTCATCTCAACACTCCAAAGTTCATCTTAATACTAATCAATGTTAACTTCACCAATTTTTAATTCATCCAATATTTCTCGACTAGGAGAGATGGTGAGATACCTGACCCAAAATGGCGGTTATGCTTATTCGAAGTTGGGGGAAACATAGGTACAAAATGTTTTTAATATATTAGGCTCATTTTGCAGTCAATTTTGCCATATCCTTTTCTTTCAAGGATAGTCTTTTGTTCCCTCCATTTGGTGCACATATTCTTCCGTTTAGGCTTCTTGTCCCAGCGTTCTCTCCCTTTGACAAGTCAGTCTTTATTTAGAAAAGAAATATAAAAGTAATGTTAAAAAAGGAATAAAATTGAATTTAATAAATGTTCTTTCAGGTACATTTTAAAAAAAGCCTTTACGCTACCTACTTGAAATTATAAGAAATGGTTTCAAATATGCTGTACTATAGGTTTGTGTCATTGTTTCAGGGGAAAGATGCCTGGGCGATAATGTATTGGTCAGCAATGTGTGTCAAGCCAATCCCGCAGCAGCATTTGTTGTGAAAGAAAAAGTTGGCCTGAAGCCGCCTTCAAGTAGTTAACACGGGAGTTAAGAGGGGTTTGAGGATTTATTTAACGGTTGTTGTTTTTATATAAGGGAGTACAGTCGGGAGTACAGTCGGGAGTACAGTCGGGAGTACAGTCGGGAGTACAGTCGGGAGTACAGTCGGGAGTACAGTCGGGAGTACAGTCGGGAGTACAGTCGGGAGTACAGTCGGGAGTACAGTCATTCCCTTGAACCGATTTCTTGCATTTAAAAAAAAAAAAAGAAGCTAAAATTATCATTACAAGCGCAATAAACTACGAATTTAATATTAAAATTTGGTCCAAAATAGTTGAAGAATAATAAAGACAGTTAAGAAATTGTAATTGAAGTCATGAAATAAGGTCAGAAGTCTGGCCTTGAATTACTATGCCATAAAATGATCACTTACATTTGAGACCAAGAAGGTAAGTAAACTGCCAATCAAAACACACGCCCTAAAGATGTTATGAGTTGGTGAGGACCCTGGTTAACTTCTTCCATTCAGCTTGGGAGTTAAGTGGAAAAAAGGCTCTGTATACAAAGAGCAGCTCCATCAATGAGACCGAAACTCTGGATAAATCAGAAACTTTTTATAGGGATGTCCTATAGTCATAGCTCCTACGAAGTTCTATTTGTTTAAAAAAAAATATTATCTGGGAAATAATAAACGAAACAAGTCAATGTATTTTTAAAACAGATTTTGCTTATCACAAATTTAATCTTTACATTTTTTAGCAAAATTTTTTTATTAATGGACCCGGAACGAGAGGGTGGGTCAGGAGTTATGTGTCTAGTCAGGTGTGATATACCACATGAACCTACAAGTCAGGTGTGATATAACACATGAACCTACAAGTCAGGTGTGATATAACACATGAACCTACAAGTCAGGTGTGATATAACACATGAACCTACAAGTCAGGTGTGATATAACACATGAACCTGCAAGTCGGGTGTGATATAACACATGAACCTACAAGTCAGGTGTGATATAACACATGAACCTACAAGTCAGGTGTGATATAGCACATGGACCTACAAGTCAGGTGTGATATGAACCTACTTGGCTGTTCATCTGAATTTCAAAGATGTGCCAATTTAGGAAATGCTACCGTGACTGCCGATACCAGCAATATATTTGTATACCTACCCGAGCAAATGTGTACCCACCCAGGGAGAGCAGCAACCCAGGAAGGGCACCCACCCAGGGAGGGCAGCAACCCAGGAAGGGCACCCACCCAGGGAGGGCAGCAACTCAGGAAGGGCGTCACCCAGGGAGGGCAGCAACTCAGGAAGGGCACCCACCCAGGGAGAGCACCAAAATATTAATTTTAAAACTAAAATCATATACTTTTGTGGGAAATGGGCCATATGAAGCTTTTACTTGCCAATGTCCTGAACCAGTTTGGGCTTATAGCTTTTATGTTGCCATAAAATGGCGATATTTTAGATTAGATAATGTGAAACATAAGAAAATTCCTTTTTTTTTCTAATATATTATTTTCTTATAACATAAGTTTCTTATAACATAATCTTTACTTGCCATCGCTCTTGCAATAAAAATCAATGCAGTCGCCATTTTGTTATTCATTTCAATATTTAATTGTGTTGCTATTTCAGTTGATCTCACTAAGTTTGTATTTCCATTTATTTACATCGGACCTTAAGCTAGTGTTGCTATTTCAGTTGATCTCACTAAGTTTGTATTTCCATTATTTACATCGGACCTTAAGCTAGTGTTGCTATTTCAGTTGATCTCACTAAGTTTGCATTTCCATTATTTACATCGGACCTTAAGCTCGTGTTGCTATTTCTTCAAATCTGACTTTAACTTAATGCTGGAGGCAATATTTGAAATGATGTATTATTCTAATACGTGACGAGAGGAAAATCTATGATGATAATATTGATATGTTCTGTCCATATAAAAGCTATGCCCGTATTTCGGCTGTGGGAATGTATGTAACACTGTACGTATACGGCACGGCTGCAAAATTCCGACGCACCTGCCATTGCCGAGTGCAAGGAAGGGGGAATAATTGATGAAATTGTCCCCCTTTAATCAAGCATCTCTCTATCGTTTCATAAATAAAAATAAAAATTGACATTAAAAAATCCCATGTTGCAGTGTCAAGTGAAATGGTTTAAGTTCATGATAAACCAGTACAAGGGTAACAAAAATTACAAGAAAACCCAAGAACACGTTCTTGTAAAAACATGGCTGGTGGTCAACCTAAGTTTAAGGTTAAGATTTTTAAAAAAAATTACTAAAAACAATTTTTAGACAAAAATAGACAAAACATGTATTAAAGTAAAGAGAAAATAAAGAGAAAGTAACTAAGCTGATGTCCTGTCCGTTCGTTCACCATACAAATAGGCTACAGTAAATTAAAACTATATTAAAACATTACTAAAAATGGGCCCATGGGAGTAGCTATGTAGGTCTACACTTCCACGAGTGGCTAACTTGGCTAATCCTGGAATGACAATCTCGACTGCATTTCTCGCAGAAGAATATTGATTCCTGGTTAGATTTGACCCTGCGTATTGTTCTTTGTGTTGCAAGGGTCTCGTTTCGCGCATCTTCTACCTTTTGACTCCTTCATACACTCCTGTTCGCCAGCTGGAACGTTGTTCGGCAATGATCACCCATTTGTTGATTTCAATGTTGGCTTCCCTCTTTGCTTCTTTTGCACACGTCCATAAATCTGATGGGCCAGCGACGGTGCATCTTGCTTAGACCGGAGAATAAGATGAACAAAATTCTTTGTCAGATGATTACGTTGTTCATGGTCGACTCCCGACTGACCAACAACACCATGTACATTCTTCAACATTGTACCGGTACAGGCCAGGCCAATCATTATTTTGTAAGTCAATAGCTTAATTATATTTCTTTTTGATATTGTAAATTATTATTATCATAATAAAATGTATTATTTGTAATTAACCCTGGTCTGAGTATCGTATTCTTTGTTATTGTATTTTACATATATCGTAGTTTGCTGTGGACTGTTTTAGAACAAGTCATAAACTTAAATAAAGATTAATTTCTACATACTCATAACAGAATGTAACAGCAGATTATGACATTATTCTAACGCAGGCATTGACAGCACCTATGTCCATTGACAGCACGTAACGCCCATTGACAACACATACGTCCATTGACAGTACATACGTCCATTGACAGCACTTAACGCCCATTGACAGCACATACGCCCATTAACAACACATACGTCCATTGACAGCATAGATTAATTTCTACGTACTCATAACAGAATGTAACAGCATATTATGACATTATTCTAACGCAGGCATTGACAGCACCTATGTCCATTGACAGCACGTAACGCCCATTGACAGTACATACTCGTCCATTGACAGCATAGATTAATTTCTACATACTCATAACAGAATGTAACAGCATATTATGACATTATTCTAACGCAGGCATTGACAGCACCTATGTCCATTGACAGCACGTAACGCCCATTGACAGTACATACGTCCATTGACAGCACTTGACGCCCATTGACAGCACTTACGCCCATTGACAACACTTAACGCCCATTGACAACACATACGTCCATTGACAGCACTTAACGCCCATTCACAACACTTAACGCCCATTGACAACACATACGTCCATTGACAGCACTTACGCCCATTGACACCACTTAACGCCCATTGACAGCACTTAACGCCCATTGACTGCACATACACCCATTGACAACTCATACGTCCATTGACAGCATTTACGCCCATTGACAACACTTAACGCCCATTGACAACACATACGCCCATTGACAACACATACGTGCATTGACAGCACTTACGCCCATTGACAACACTTAACGCCCATTGACAACACTTAACGCCCATTGACAACACATACGCCCATTGACAGCACTTAACGCCCATTGACAACACATACGCCCATTGACAACACAGAGGTAACGCCCACCAAACTGAGTCAGTGCTGCACACGAAATGAACGCCTTGTCCGGGAAGCCCTTTTGATCATAATTTTTCGATGGAGGGCGGGTTTTGAAACCTGTGTTGAAGCAAATGTTGGACATGTTGAACACACACTATCGTTTAATAAAAGTTAACATTATGTTTGTATTAAAATGAGTTATTTATTTTTTAAAAAAAATGATATTTACCATTGTTTTCATCTTCATAAAAAGGGTTCTATTTTTTTCCGGACACAGGGAAGTGTGCGAGCTGATTTACATCAACAATATGCGACACTCACTGACAAAATTCAATGATTAATCTTCCCTTATTTCTTTCTTGTCTTCCCTTAATTATAGTTCTTTATGTGTTACCATATACTACGTAGCCAATCATTGCCGTACAATCAGGAATACCTCTAGTGTTTCCAGCATGCTGCCAACACTAGAGGTATTCCTGTAGCGGTTCAGGACAAAGCGTGCTGCCCATCGCTGGACCGCTCCCAACTTGTCGATGCTCTTCTGGGGTAAATGGGTCCCAGACTGAAGATGCATAATCTGAAACCGAACGGACAAAGGCTTTAAAGGCTATTTCTTTCACACTATGGAGTTTCCAGTCTTTAGATTACGCCTTAAGAGCCCCAGGGTCTTGTTTGCTTGGTTGTACACATTGTTAATAGGCTCGTCCCAGTGGACCTCTCTTTGAATGAAACTGGCTCAAATATATAGCCATGCAGTTCGTATTGGTAGTGTAGAGGCGTACAACTTCTAGAGACTGACAGTGTCTGGCATTTGGTAGAATCAAATTCCATGTCCCAGCTTATCTCTTATTCAGCTAACCGATTGAGATCCTGTTATAGCTGGTCCTGGTCAGATCTGTTGGAGATCGTCCTATACACCTCGGTGTCATCTGCGAACAGTCAAGCTTGGGATGTCAGTTTCTCGGGTAATCATTGATGTATGCTAGGAACAAACAGGAGCCTAGCTCAAAGCACTGGGGGACACCTGACTTAACACCGAAAAAAGGAGGGGCTTGTACCGTCCACCACTTCTGCTTGGCATCGGTGGCTGAGGAATCTAGAGATCCATGTTTTAGTGGTGCCTTGGGTCCCATATCTCTGAAGTTTGTGTAGGAGCAACCTATGAGTGACGCGGTCAAATGCCTTTGAGAAGTCCATCACCAGCACGTCAAT